AAAAAAAAAAAATTATAACATTTTCTTGGCCAGGCATGGTGGTTTATGCCTATAATCCTAGCACTAGCCCTTTGGGAGGCTGAGGTGGGTGGATCACGAGGTCAGGAGTTTCAGACCAGCCTGATCAACATAGTGAAACCCCATCTCTATTAAAAATACAAAAAATTAGCCAGGCATGGTGGCATGTGCCTGTAATCCCAGCTACTTGGGAGGCTGAGGCAGGAGAATCGCTTGAACCCAGGAGGCAGACTCCAGCCTGGTCAACAGAGCAAGATTCCTCAAGAACAAAAAAAAAATTTTTTTAAAACTCATCAGCTATGGTTAGTGTTAGTGTATTTTATACAGGGCCCGACAGTTCTTCTTCCAATGTGGCCCAGGGAAGCTAAAAGCTTGGGCACCCCTGATGGTGAATTGATACTAAATCATGATCCTGTTTTGAGAATCTGAGACTCAGAGGTGAGATGAATTCAGTTGTTCAGGATCCCAGAGCTGTGAGCTGTTTCAACTCCTAAAACAGACTTCGCCGTTCCTCAGTTTCCCTTCCATGCTCCATCCCTGGGAAGGGGCCCCAGGAGGGGGGTGTGTCCTGGCCACTCCTGTGGGCTCTGGGCAATGCGATGAGCTGGTCGAGCCTGCCTTCCAATCTGGACTTGCTATTCCCTGGCTGGGTGACCTTGGGCAAGTTTCTCAACTTCTCTGTGCCCCAGTTTCCTCAAAGTGGGAACAAGAACAACTCCCAAAGGGCTGCAGAGGATTCCATGAGCTTCTGTGGGTCAAGAACTCCAAGGGCTCGGCTTGCCCAGGGCAGGTTTGTGGGAGGCTTAGAGATGGTTTTCAGATTATTCTGTGTGCCTTACACGCAATGAAGGGGCAGGGGCCCTCCTTAGCCTCCACGCCCACCTGGGTTTCTAGGGGAAGTGGGAGAGCCGATGACCAGCCCAGGCCTCGGGGACAGTTGACGGATGACTAAGGAGGGATTTTCCGGTCCATGAATCAGAGCCTGCCTATCCACACTTGGCCCAAACCCATCCGTCTCGGCTGACTTCCTAACTCCAGACAGGCCAGGCAGGAAAGAACACCCCCTAAAGCCGGACAGAGGACAGAGCCCATGTGAGCTCCCTGTTCAGGTCTGGGCCATGTATCCAGCTCCTTGGGGCCCACACTGAAGCTGGAAAAGGGGACTTAAAGGGTCCTCGCTCTGGGACATCCTGGCAGTGCTCCCAGAAGCCACAGAAGAGAGGTTCTAGGGGCACCTGTCCAGGGACCACCACCCAGGCCCTGTCCCTGCTGTCGACCTCTGGAAGGGGTAGGATAGGATGGGGGATGAGGAGGGACCCTGGGACTTGAGTAATCCATGCTTCAAGCCAGGAGAAGCTGGGCAGTCCCAAGAGAGAAAGGGGCGGAGAGAGATCTGGAGTAGAGAGGGGTCCCCAAGGAACAGGTGAGATCTGGAGGCTTGAGGGCAGGAATGAATGGGGAAAAACGGAGTGTCCTGAGCTGGAATCTATAGGGGGAGTTAATTGGGGTGTAGGGTAGGGATCTAGAGGGCAGGAATGGGGGCGTGTGAGTCTCTAGGGGCTACAATGGAGGGAAACAGCGTATCCCCAAGGGGGGCTGAAGAGAGGATTGAAGACTTAATGGGGTGTCCTGACTGGAGAATAAAGATGCGATAGGAAAAGAGGGGTGCCGTTGGGGGATTAGGTAGGAAAAGGGGTGCACGGGGTTGTAGGCGGACCATGGGGGCCGGATCTCAGACATCTGGGGTTGGCAGGAGAAGAAGGAAGTGTCCTGATTTGAGATCTGAGGCGCCGAGGGGCAGAGATGGCAGAGAAGGGATGGGGGTGGGTTATTGGGTTTGAAGGACAGAAATAGGAGGATGGGGGGGTGTTCGGGGCAGGGTTGAGGATCCTGGGGGTGGGATCTCAGGGGGTGTTCCGATGGGGGCAGCTCTGGACTCTGGGGATTGGAGAGGAGGAGAAGACAGGTGGGGAAGGTGCTGGGGGTGCGTCCCTGCCCCCGCCCCCTTCCCCCGCGGTCACCTGCTCGAAGGCCCAGCTCTCGGCTACCCGCTTGGCGCTGAGGTCCAGCAGCGCCTCGGGCCGTCCCCGGCCACGCGCGGCCCCGGCCCCGGCATCGCGCTCCTCGGGTCCCGCGGGGCAGCCCCGGCTCCGCTTGGCCGCGGGGGGCTCCATCCGGCCGGGCGGGGGCCAGGGCCGGGGCGGGGCCTCTTGGGGGAGTCGGTCCAATGCCTGCTCCGCGTCGCCGGCTCCCGCGCCCCCTGCCCGCCTTCCCGTCCGTCCTCTGCGCTCGGCCGCCCCCGGACCCCTGCCGCACCCACCCCCGACCCGCGCCGGGCCGGCCGGGTGATGCGGCCCCTTTAAGACTCTTCACAACAATGAAGCTGCCTCGGCCTCCGCTTTAGCTCGGCCGTCGTCCCGCCCCCGCCGCCCGTCCCCATTGGCCCCCCCTCGGCCTCCGCGGTCCTCCCTCGCCATTCGTTGCGCCGCCATACCCATCTCCCAGCCTTGCTGCTCACTCGATGACTGTGATGCCAGTCTTTCCGTGTTTACCCAACCAGAGCCCGCTGCGAGGGGTGCTGTCAATCACGGGGCGCCAGAGGCCAATCAGAGCGGGAGGACCCCTGCGACCCAGGCCTTATGCGGAGTTTCGGGGCGGGCCCGGGGTTCATTCACAACATTCCTCCCCCGCCTCCCTCGGGCTGGACAGCACGCCCGGGGCTGCTCGGGCTGCGCCCACACACGGCTTTGTTTACTGAGGGTCGCTTCCGGGCGCCGCGAGGGGACAATCAACACACCCCGGCCGGTGAGCGAGACGGAGCAGCGGGATCCCTTGACAGCGGCTCAGCCCCTCGTCCCTCTGAGCTGTGTGACCCGAGAAACTCACTCAACCTCTCTGGTCACCGGGTTAAGTTTTGGTGCTGTGGCAGCGGAGGGGTAGCAGGCTCATGGGAGGAGCTCCTACGGGCCGCGGACCCCCTCTCCAGAAACAGAGCTCGGTTAGGGGATTCATAGGTCATCCCTTGAGCCTCAAAAGCAGCACCCCACCCCTCCTTTCCATGCCCTAGATTCTACGTTAGGTCGTATGAAATTGCTGATTTTCTACCATTTTTGGCCTGTTAAAATGGCAATTCCATGAGGTTCAGCCTAACCCTTATCAAACCCCAGGACCTCTGAGCATTTTTTCTGACTCAGCTTGTCCAGGCCACCATCTCTGCCCTGGAAGCCGGCCATGGTTTCCATCACGCGTTCCCGTCCCGGCTCCCTGCCAATGTCCTCAGAAAACCTTGCATTTTCCCTTCCTCATACTTCTCTCCATTACCATTTATTTATCTGTTTAGGCGGTTTTTTTT